AATGTTGTGCTGTAATGTTACATTAGATAACGGCTCAGGAGCTGTCTGACAACAGAATCATCACTTTGACCTTGAGTGGGCGGAAACTGGATAAGAAGGTAGGTGGTTAGACTCTCCCACACATGTACACACTCTGGATGAAAATGCAAGCACACACAAAGTGCATTGGAGCAACACATACTACTTTAGGACACACAAGCAAAGCCCACACAGACAACATTTACAGTAAATGTTTTCATACTCTTCACCTTTAACTGCCAACCAATGGGCAGTCAGGAGCACTGATAGCTGGAAATGAAAACCATGTAGGATTTCGATTTATTTTATCAGTTTATTTTCATTGTTGGACCTGCAGAGTAGCTGCTGGTATAGTGAAGGTAAAAATGACATTGGCTCAGAAATAGCACAGCTTTAATTGATCCTTGAACTAATGCTGATATGTACCTGCTGTGCATCCTCTTGTTAAGCCACCAGGATACACTGAATACAGACAATGCAAGAGCCCAGGATATTTTTTAATTAATACATTACTTAGTCTAATAGAAAAACTTTTTAGTGTATTACAGTGGGGTGTTTTGGCTACTGCAGTTTAATTTATCGGCTGTCATCAAAATGTGATACATAAACAATAATCGCCTTGAGATGTACCATTTCGCTTTCAAACTGGCACTATTCTGTGCAGGACTTCTTTGGGAAGTCAGACCCCTACTTGGAGTTTCACAAACAGGGAGAGGATGGCAAATGGATGCTGGTGCACAGGACAGAGGTGAGTCATTGGTGGGGATTAAAAGCACCTTGTTGTAACTGTTGTTATTGTCAGTGGTGAGCTGTTCCTGTCAGCTAAACCAGGTTTTAGAGGTTATACACTGTAACTTTCGCAGTAAGTGTAGAACGTGACGCTAGCCCCAATTCTACACTTACTGGTCAGCTTCCATAAAGTTCAGTGACTGCTTACCTTTTTCTGTGTCTGGGTTTCAGGTCATAAAGAATACCTTAGATCCAGCATGGAAACCTTTCACTGTGCCTCTCATTTCTCTCTGCAATGGAGATGTGGACAGAAGCATCAAGGTTAGTGGTTAGTTAGAGCTTGTACTTCATTTGTTAGATAACCCATATAGAATTTTCTCTTTATCTCTAAATATCATGGACTAATGATGGAAATTGACAGAAACTTGTTAGCTTTGCATTGATCATTTTATTGTGTTTTGTAATCAGGTCCTCTGTTATGACTACAGCCATTAAAGCCATGACTTTGTAATTTGTTTGAAAAAAAAAAATGCAGTTTGAAAATGTGTTTAACAAAACTTTAAATTTGTGCAGCAAATGATAATTAATCATAATTAAATAGCTGTCCATGTAAACTGTAACAAATAAATAACACTTGTGTGACAAGTATGGAAATGTATAACAAGGGTAAACATACCAGGGAAATAACCAGGAGTCTCCAGAAGGATGCTATACAAGCCAACGAAGAGACGATGGCATGATGTGATATGTTTTACACACGGACAGGTTCTTTGTTTTGACTACGACAATGATGGAGGCCATGACTTCATAGGAGAGTTTCAAACCACTGTTGCCAGGATGAGTGAATCCCAGAACTCAGTGGAGGTAAATGATGTTTGACATTATTGTAAAACAGTGTGTTTGTCAGTTCAGGTTATTGTCATGTGTACTGTATGTAATGTGATATCTTCCACTCTGTGTTAAAGTACAGCTTAGAGTTGAACATGTCCAAGTGTTTTGTGAATGACTAGTTAGCTGTAAAACATTTGGTTACAATGTAACCCTGTTTCACTGAAAATGGAAGTGCCCTCAAATAATGTTCAAAAGAAAACTAATAACCTGTTATGGTTTAGTCCCCCTCACCAGGAGGGTGAGGGAGAACTGGGGTTGGACTCAAGATGGCTGACCCAGGTGCTAGTATAAAAAAGGTGGTTTAATGGAATAAAAAACAACAAAACAGGGTCCATAATACATACAACAAGGGAAAGGCAGTGATGACTAAGGAGACCAGGACGGAAACACACAAACTAACGACAGGAAATAGAATAGCAGGAGGATGAGAACAGACAGGTGAACAAAAAGAACCAACATAAACAATGCAATCCACAGCATAGGGACTGTCAGCGTGGAAGACAAAGCACGTATTTCTGTGTTGCTAACCACATAATTAGCGTGATAAGGTCAAGGCAGGAACTAGGATAGCAGGAGGATGAGAACGGACAGATGAACAAAAAGAACCAAGGTACACAATGCAATCCACAGCACAGAGACTGTCAGCGTGGAAGACAAAGCACGTATTTCTGTATTGCTAACCGCATAATTAGCGTGATAAGGTCAAGCCAAAACGCACAGGAACTGTCAGCGTAGCATATTACACACGTCTAAAAATGCGGGTCAAACATAACATTTGTAACTTACATAGGGTAAGTGTTGTCCGTTACATGTCACAATGCTCCCGGCGACAACGGGGCGTCTGCCAGAGGTATAAATAATGAAGCCAACAAATCGCCTCAGGTGTGCGCATCAACCCACAAGTCACTAATTACCCGATGCGACACAGCTGAGGCGTTGATCCCGCGAAGAAGGGCCGTTCAGGAGGACGTCCCTGGCGCATGGCTTGAGAGCGTAGACGCGCGGTCAGGAGGGCGACCTCGGCACCAGACTTGAGAGCGTAGACGCCGGTTGGGAGGCACTAGTGGGAAGGCCTCGTCGGCGGCAAACCCCTCTGGCGCAGGAGAGCGGTGTCATCATCACCGACCCCCTCGAAGACCAGAACAGGAATTGAAGAAAATGGGGCGGCGTCGGCGCACCGGCACGTTGAGGAGCCCGTGGAGGCTGCGGCTGGCGGGGAGCAGGTTGAGGAGCCCGTGGAGGCTGCAGCTGGCGGGGAGCAGGTTGAGGAGCCCGTGAGTGAATTGGCAATTGAGGCGTGGACTGCTGTGGCAGTGGTGACTGAAGCTGCAGCGAGGGCGGTGGCTGCTGAGG